GGACACCCTTCCTCAGGTTCAGAGTTTTGGAGCAGGGAGACCTGATCAGGTGGGCAAATGCTCCCGTCCAAGCCCACCTGGAGCTCTAAGCTTCCCTTTTCCCACATAAGGAGAGTATGTCTGTCTTGACCCATTTGTGCCCCCCACCCCCAGGAAGTCAAGGCAGTATTCATTTAGTGAACATTTCTTGAGCGTCTTCTCTGTTCCAAATGCAAGGCTAGGCACTCACCAGGGAGGAGAAGAATGGAAGTAACTAAATGTATTGAGTGCTTACCGTCCACCTGGCACACTTTCCCAAAGACCTTAAATGGAGTCGCCCGATCCCTGGGACAGTGAGGTCAGGGCTGTTATAACCCCTGGTTTATAGACGAGGACTTGGAGGCACGTAACTTGCAGGAGGCCGCAGTACTGGTAACTGACTGGCTGTCAGGCCTCAGGCTCTCTTGTCTCTTGTTCACTCCTTTGCCTTGAAAAATTTGAATGTCTGAGGAGGCAGAACCCATAGATCCACAGTTTCTCGACCTGGGCTCTGTGGACGTTTTGGACCAGATGATCTGTGGTTGTGTCATCTGCCCTGTGCATTGTGGGACGGTCAGCAGCTTTTGCCAGTAGCGCTCCCCACCATTTGCGACAATCAGAAACGTCCTCAGATATTGCCAGATTTCCCTGGTGGTGGCAGCATCACCTCCAGTTGAGAACATCTGTCCTAGATCTTCATATTTCCTGAGATAGCCATATTAGTGTCCAATCTTTAAATGTCCAATTAATTGAAGCGCCTTTTAATACCGTGGGAGTCCTGGTCCCACTGTGCGAACCCTCGGCTGGGAGCTCTAGTCTCTGAATGTCCGAGTCCTGCTGCCATTCTCCTGCCCTCTGCTAAGTTACGAATCCCCAAGACAGGGTGCCAGGTAGCCAGTGCCAGGTACACAGAATTGGCACAAGAGGTCAGTTTAGTTTACCAGCCTAGGTAAACTATCTCTCTTCACTGTTGGCCATCAAAGCTGTCACTATGTCAGTGTCACAAACATTCAAAAGAGGGAGCTATCATGTCTAGATGGGGCGAGCACCACTGAACTGGGCTTTAAAGAGTGGAATCAGTTTAGAAAGGCAGCGAAAAGGGCGGCGTGAGAGCAGCAGACACAAAGGCATGAAATGCAGGAAGGGGGTTTTGAGGTGGCGGTGAGCCATGCAGCGGGGCTGGCAGGGGGCGGCGGGGGGCAGGTGGAGAGGTCTGGAATTCTGGTTGAGGACTTTTTGCACAAATCTGTAGTTAGTGGGGAGCTTTTTGGCAAATTGGTGAGAGAATAGTGACAACTAGCTGTCTGGGCATGAGCCGATGACGGCCTGCAGTGGAGTGGTGGCAGACAAGGCGAGGTGAGATACAGGTGAGGTGAGATATGTGGGCCGTGGGCCTAGGAGGCCGAGAGCAGTGTGAGCACACAGGGCTCTCCGTCTTGGGCGAATGGGAGATTGACCCAGGCTCTGAACAGAACAGAGGGCAGAACAGAAATCGGAGTTTGGGGAGTGAAGATAAGTTACCTTTTCCAGTTGTAAAAAATATCTAACTGAGCTGATCTAATTAAAAATATTTGGGAGGCCAAAGCTGTGGAATTGGTGAGTATTCAATTCAGAGCTGGACCATGAGGTTAGAGACCAGTCGGTACTCTGACTCCTTTATTTTTATTTTACAAACAAGAAAGTGATGGTTGCAGCAGAGCCAGGAATGTAGTGAAAGTTCCACTCTAACGAATGACGGGCCTGGGGACTCTCCCTGCAGGGCCTTCCAGCCCCAGGGCTTCATACTGTACAATAGAAAAGCAGGAGCCTGGTTTCTCCTTCCTTTCTGAGAATGTAAGAACAAGTAGCTATATTTTGTGCCCATTCTAGTAATGAATTTACTGTAATGGAGTGTATATTGTCTAAAGTAGAAGTTACCGGCTTTGTGTCATGCTGGGGTTTTTTTTTTCTTCCTAAACCAACTATTAAATTCCGTCATAAAGAAAATATTGTTAAAGATGCTGTAATACCGTATCATGTAGCATCTGAGACACTCTTCCATGGGACGAGGAACAACTGGCAGAAACCAGGGCGCTAGGTCCTCCCAGTTAGGGGGACCCTGCTCTTGCAGTTCATCAACCTCTATCTGGAAAACAAGTTATCTGATTTTGTTAAGCTTTTCTGTAGCTTTCCTGTGATATGGTCTGTGGCCAACAAGTTCATATCCATAGGGTTCTTTCCGGCTTAATTGGGCAGCCGTGTGGTAAATAAGTTGATAGAATAAATGAATCACAAACTAAGATTAACTTTAAAATGTGTAACGACCCTCTGGAAACTTTAAACAGAAACGTGAAAAAACCCGGGTGCCTTTCTGTAACCTCTTGTGAGCGGGCATCTGAGATCGGTCTGCAAATAGGAGTTGGTCCTTTCCCGTGGTGTTCTGTGACGAGCTCAGAAGTCCGCCCGCGAGACACAGACTGATGCAGGTATATGCAGTGTGCCGTCTGCTCAGGAGGAGTTAGGACACGTCTGTCACTCAGAGTCTGAGCAGATGACTTCCCATTTACAATTTAAGAAACCATTCGAACCCTGAGCAGAGTAGCAGGAATGGTGCAATGAACAACTGCCTCTGCCCAGGTTGACTGATTGCTCTTGGCCACGTTTATTTTGTTGTGCCACATCAACCCTAAGCAGGCAGCTCCCAGGAACACAGGCTTTCTGTGTGACAACCATCAAATCATCACGCAGAGGGAGGCCAAGTAGCTGCCTGCGCTGTTCAGTCCACAGTCAGATTGCCCCGTTGTCCCAGCACCATCCTTTTAAACATCTGTTCTTTTCCTTGAGTTCCTTAATCCAGGGCTGCGTTCAGGTGTCTGTCGTCTCCTTCCTGGGGCCAGTTCCTTGTCGGCTACCCCCTTCAGGACACTGCCATTTTGGAATCGTGCAGACCGGCCTTGCAGGCCTCGGTTGCAATTTGTCTGGCAGTCTCTGTGTGATTAGGTTCAGGGTAGACCACGTTGGCAGGAATATCACAGAGTTGATGTGTGTGTTCTCAGTGCATCACCCCCCCCTTCACCACCACCCCCACACACATTTTAAAGCAAATTAACTGGAAGTTTACCCAGTGTGTGTACTTCGCACCAACTCACTGGTTCCTTTA